AAAAGGTAAAACAAAAAAAATATTTTAGTTTTAGAGTACAAAAAAAAAGGAAAAAAGAAAATAAATAAATATGATACAGCCGACTATTTTATATTTAATGGTAACAATTATCAATTGCGTTTTTTATTACCTAAAAATCAGGTAAAACAAATATAAATATTTAGTTTTGATAAAAAAAATGGCGGCTGAACACAATAAATATTTGGCGGATAAATATGGCGGGAATTTATAAAATGTTATTCTTTTTATATATAGATAGATTTTTTTATTAAATTTATGAAATGTGTTCTTGTTAATAATAGAAGTGGGCGATGGTATAGAGTCATAATCAGTAAAAATCCATCTGGATTGATATTAAGTTAAAATGAGGTATTTTGAATAAAACTGACTGAGTGAGATAATATACTATAATTGATTAAAAATATAATAATTATAATCAGGGCCGGCTCTGGTCTAGAGCGACCTGGGCAAAGGACCAGGGCCCAATTCATGGGAGGGGCACCGGCCCATTTGTACGATTGCTATGTATTGCTTTAGTTTATAAAAAAGGTGGAGAGTTATAATGGGGAGAGTTACAAGTATTTAGACAAAGCAACGGCCCAGGGCCCAATGTATTGCTTTAGCACACCATCCCACAAGTCACTTTTTCTATTTTCTATAACACACCATCCGGGCCCTTGTTTTTATTGTCTTTATTATTTATCTCTCTTTCTTTGAACTTAATTATCTATGTCATCTAGTTACATTCTCCTTTTATACATATTTATCTTATTTACATAAAAAATATGTGTTATTTACGGATTAAATTTAATTAACTTCTTAAAATTATTTTCAGTGTGGTTAAGGTTATTTGATAAAATTTAAATATATTTAATATTTATTTTGTTACTATTTATGGTTGAATTGTAAATTTTATATCTTTATCTTTTTTTTTTTGGTTTTGTGTTGTGAGAGTTATTTGTTTTATAGGTCAAATCTAAACCATAAATTAACTAAAGATCAATAAAATTGATATTGTAATAAATTTATATTATTTTATGTATTTCAGATAATATTGATAATAACTTAATTATAGTTTTACTTATTAATTATTTTTAGTTAACATATCATCATGTTTAAACTACAAACGAAATCATTCTTATGCCATATAAAAACCACTTAAAAAAGTGAGCTATATCAAATTTCGCAACTAATTAATCTATGCAATAGAAAGATATTATATGAAATTTTGATTATGGTGATACAAATGATAATTTTTTCGATAAATATTCTAAAGAAACTTTGTAAGTGATTTTGTTACTACTATATTTTTGCCCCCCAAAAAAAAGTTTTGGTTGGTAAATTAGTTTTGATGTGTCATAAATTTATATTAAGACATTATCATTTTATTTATAAAAGAACTCAAGGTACTATCTCTTTTGGAAGATGAAAGTGCCAATAACCTTTATATAAGTGATGAATTGTGAGCTATTGTGAATTATACCTCATATGAGATTACATAAATTAATATGTTAAAGCAAAATAATTATTAGGGCATTGTTGATATTATTATATAAATACTCTAGTTTACACACACACATATATATATATATATATATATATATATATATATATATATATATATTTATAGGGCACTATTTTTGTATTTGGCCCAGGGCCAAAAAATATTCAGGACCGGCTCTGATTATAATTGATGTGATGTAAAAATAAGAGATAAATGATAGAATTGAGCGGTAATTAAAATATGTGAATGAATGAATAGTAAATTAAAATTAATGCGATGTAGGACAGAGGCGGATCTAGCAAATGTAACCGGAGGGGGGAGGGGGGAGGGTTAATTATTTAATGAAGACATTATAAGATATCATAACGAAAAGTGTAAATACAAAAGCATACATTCATAGTCGTTCTTTACGAGTTTTGATGACCTTATTTTGCTTGATAAAACATCTTTATCATTTCGAGAAAGTTTCATTTCCTACATGAACTAGTAGTCTATCATCTAATCAATCATCGCTGATATGATTGCTCAATTTATCCTTAATAGTATTCATTGTAGAAAATATATGTTCCACGCTCTATTGCAACTGGTAAAACTAGTGCCAAAGTTTGTAAACAGGTCGTATTTTCTTTCTGCTCAGTTACACCAGAATTTCCCTAAAATCTATTTGGATTCAAAATATCTCAATTTGAGACATTTTTAGAAGCACTTTACTGACGGAGCATTTTTTTAAAATATCTTTCCATCTCTGATATACAAAAAATAATATTATAAATTACAATCAACGAAATTTTCGATTTCGACATATCACTCTTTAAAGAGCTATAAGTACTTTAAAATTTTAATTTACAATTTCCACATAAAAAGAATATATTTGGCACTACCTAAAAAATAAAGAAGAATATTTTTCTCCACCCATGTAAACATAAAGGATTTCGTTGCATCGCAAGTCGCCTTCTCGAACAATTAAGACATTGAAATTTTTTTTATTTTTTTTTCACTCTTTTCTCTCCTTCCCATCTCAATTTTCCCTTCTTTTTTCTCTTTTTATTTGCCCTTGTTCTTGCGTGAATTGTTTGATGCCTGCCCTTATTAAACAACCATTAGTAATTTATTTGTTAAAGCCTTTATTATATTAGTTTTAATTATTTGGGCTTGTATTTAGATTTTGATTTTTTTTTTATGTATGGGCTATATTAAAACAGTAAACGGAAAATAATTAAATTATCTCAATCTTGTCGAACATTTAAAAAAAAAAATAAAAAAAATACACATTTGTTTAAGTCATCACATCTGTAAATAAAACATAATTCGGCTGGCCTGTATGTTTTATATCTACCTCTACATCAATTAATTTAATAAAAAATTAAAAAAAAATAAAATAAAATAAAAAACATAATAACATCATTTAGGCATAACATCAGTCTTTATGGTGGAGCATCACACATTGGTAGGGACTAACTTAAACCATTGAACTTGTGGATTTTCATCACAAGTGTTGAGATCAGCAAGTTTGTCATCAACACAACGGCATTTCTTGGTAATGACTTTAGGTCCATAAGCATTCTTTTCCAAGCACAAATACTTGCCTTGTTCAATCTGGACAGCCAAATGAAGTCCCGAGCTGGATGCAAACTGCCAACCGCTCGAACAATCTTTCGTAACAGAGGCTACGGCCCCGTCTCTGTTTGCCGTGAGGCACTGTTGAGTTCCGGCCAGCTTGATCCGGCTCCCGTCTTGGTCCCACCGGCTCGCGTATTTGCAGTTGTCTAGCAAAGTATGGTCTGCCTCGCCGATGCGTACGCATTTGCCGCTTTGAGGATGGAACATTATGTAGCGGCTCGGTTTTTTAGATTTCGGGTCTGTATAGCATAGCAAGATCAAAACTTTTGTCACATGCAAGGGTGAGCAAAAATCGAGGCCGAAACCGAAAAACCGAGCTGAACCGATGTATTCGGTTCGGTTTCTACAGTTTGGATTTTGAAACACCGCAAAAAAATTTGGTGTGGTTCGGTTTTGTGTCCAAACGGTGTGGTTTTAGCCGAACCTCATCGAATAGCTTAAAAAAGTGTCATTAAAACAACATCTCAACTTATAATTAAACTACTGCAATTTTGACAAAATTGAGGCCTTGCAACATAACATGATTTGTATTCAGTCTTTTTAATTGCACTTTATCGAAAAATCGAACCGAACCAAAATTGAATTTTTCGGTTTTGGTTCGATTCGGTTTTGTCTTATCTTGCAGTGCTGTTCGTTGAACAGATTCTACTTTTCTGGTTTTCGGTTTTTTACCGAACCGCACTGTTGCTCAAACCTACTAACATGTTAGTACTGAAGCGGTTATTAACCAAAAACAATATGAACATTAAGTACTGACTTGTGTGTGTCCATGACAATAAAGAAAGGAAAAGAAAAAGATTACCTTGATTTATATGTCTTATAAGTTCCAACTTCCTAAGAAAACGGCGATTTCTCGGACGATCCCAGTTAAAATCCGAAACTCCGTAAGCTTCATCAGCATTGACTTTCCCCTGTCTAAGCATGTAGCTTCCTTGAAAGGCCCACAGTGACCACTCGATATCCTTTCCCGCCACTTCTGCTAACAAGCAATTTATGTACCTGTTGTCTGCCTCGTTTTCGCCACTTTGGTCTATGCCGAATTCGCTTAGAAAAAGGGGAAACGGGTTGTCGCCGTTTATCAAGAAAAGATAATTATTGCGTGCTGCTTGAGTTATATAATTGCACACAAAGTTAGTTCGTCTGGTCCATGTACCAGGCGAGATGCCGAATGTGTACCAATGAGCTTCGAAGACTAATTTGTTGTTCACATTTAGACTTAATGGCTTTGTTTTTAGAAAGCTGAGGTTGATATCAGAGTGTAATCCTGAGACTATGACAAGAAAATGAGGACTTTCTTGGTGAACTGTGTTTGCTCCGGCTTGCATGAATTTATAATAGTCGGGCAAGTTTTGCCGGGACCCTCGTAGCTCATTTCGAAGGCTCATACCAATCACCTGCACAAACAATTGATTGCCACAGTCAAATTTAAAATTTTAATAATCCTATTCATCTCCCCAAATGGGAAATGCTATGAACCCGTTATGGAACCACTCTGTCGGGTTTGTAACCGTTTGATCATCATGCAACGGACTGTAGTATCTCCCCAAATTATTTACTAGAAAAAGCTCTGTTCTTGAACTTAGAAAAAGAAGTATATATATACATACCGCAGCATTGCCTTTGTATCTTTTTGCAACATCTCTCAAGCCATTAAACCATTCTGTCGGATCAAAATTCGAGTCCCCGAAAAAGCCATTGCTATCTTTGCCGTCGCAACACCACTCGGGCTGGCTAATCGCGTTATCGAGCACCACCATGAGTCTCTGTCTCCCGAGCTCGTTCACCACGGCCTCGTGAGCTTCCTTTATCTTCATTTTCAGAATCCACTTGTTGTGCTCATCCACGCCTGCTTTTGCAGCCACCAAGTTATACTTGTCGAGTGACTGCGAGACCGTCAGGCCGTAATATTCGTGCCGGGTGAACATATACGTGGCCCACGAAAATCTCACGCAGTTAAAGCCCGATTGTGATATGTTCCCCACAATGACACTCAGGGGCTTCTTGTCGAGCCCTTCCGCTATCATTGGCTGCAAGTGGGAAACCCAGTTCACGCACTTCAGCTTTACGCGCTGTCCGGTTGCCTCGTCGACTATCCACCGGGACCGGGTCGAGAGAGGGGCCGAATTGCAATTTGCTGAAAGTTGTAGGAAAAGGATCAAGAAAATGGCTATACTCTTTCTTCTAACCATTTTTCCTTCTTTTTTTTTGTATTTCATTCAAGAGATTTTAGTTTGTATGGGGACGCTTTATATGTAAATGAGATTTTGAAGGGACTTAATGGAAAATAATTATGAAAAGGAGGATGTGATTGAATGAATAAATACTACAGAGTTTTGTCCTCAAAAAGAAAAAAAGAAAAGTGAATCTTGGTAGCAAAAATATTATCATTATCATTTCCGCGTAGAGGGTTTGAAAAATTATGTCTTGGGCGTGAAGATAATAATTTCATGGTGATGCCAGGCAAAATGCAGAGCAAAATATTACTATCATATATTTAGTGTCACGCTTAATTAGGTACGAAAACATTTATTATTTTCTTATAATATAATATTTTTTTTTAAAAAAAAATATATATATATATATAATTGTAATAAACTATTGACAATTACATTTTCTTTTTTGAAATTATATTGCAGATTTGGGGGATTTTTTCGAGTTTTTTCAATGGCACTAGAGAATATTTCAAAATTAGAGAAAAAATAAAAAGGAAAAAAAAAATCAAAAAGAGAAAAAAGAAAAAAAAGAAAGAAAGAGAGGAAGACTTTACTTAAGGGTAGCTTATTTAATTAAAAAAAAAGAAAAATTTGTGCCAAAAAATAAAAGAAAAAAAATGGTTGTGGACAAGAATCAAACGGACGGATTTTGGAAATCCGTTTTTTCTT